CTTGCTATCTATCTATCTATCTATCTATCTATCTATCTATCTATCTATCTATCTATCTATCTATCTATCTATCTATCTAATCAGACTTAAGACGAGACCCCACTGGGGTCCATTTTCCCTCCGATTCAGCGCTTTTTAACTGAACCTTTGTGTCTCTGAACACAACAGCTCATAAATCTGACTTGAATATCCAGCTGAAACGGTGAGAATATCGACACTTGATCCGCTTTAACAGCAGCCTGTGAGTCCTGGAGTCAGGTGACAGGCGGTGGAGGCCTCGGCTCTCAGTCACATCTTTGTGGCAGGACGTGAACACATTCAAAGCCAAGAAGGCAAAGTGTGAGTCCTGGGGGTGGGGGGGACACATCACAGGATCTTTCCATGACACCAACGGAAAGGAAGCCGGTAATCTGGGAGGATTCCCACGTCCTTCAGCTGATGGCAGATTCCAGCCTGATTCAATTTCCTCCCCTGGAAACAAGGTAGGGCTCAGATGTCCACGCCGCTCCGCTCCCACAGGCCCGGGATCAGGGATGTGGGGGGGGGGGGGTACAATAGGGGGCTTTGTGGAGGAGGAGGAAGCAGAAACCTTTAGTCTGAGGAATGCCAGACATGCGGCTCCAATTCGCTGAGCCCAGAAATGTGATCCCGTGCAACAATGGCTGCCGAAGGAGGAGTGGGGGGGGGGGGAGTGTGTGAGCAGCCGAGGAGCTTACCGGGGGAAACGAAACAGCGTTACGGGGGAGGCGGCAGATGCCACACACCCCACAAACTTGAGGGAAATCATCATTAGTGCTGCACCAGCCAATGGCTGCCTCCCTTTCCTCACCAGCCATCTCACATGCAGCTGTTCAAAAGACTAAAACTACTCTCCCTGAAGCTTCCCGGGGCATAAATAATGTGAAATGAGATCCATGGGGCTCCACCAGCTCTCGTCGGGAGCTTCTAAAGCAGAAAATGCAGGCTCTCCGGTGGCTGCTGGGCTCCTTGGTTACGATTTTATTGTTGCATTTATTTGATGTGGCTTTGGAAGAGTGCCCGAAAGTGTTGGAGCAAACATTTCACACTGATCTCCAAAGCAAGAAGAAAAAAATAAAAATACTCTGCAGCTTCCCCGAGTTCACTCCAGCGTGAATATTTGGGATGTGCGGGGAGCAGAATCCGTTTGCAGCAATCCCCTGAGCCCGAGATTAGGATGAGGCCATTTGCTGATTGACAGAGCGAAAAAAACAGCCATTTTAAAGCTGCTTTCCTCAACACTGTAATATAAACAATGGCTCCTATATGAGAGAGGGTTCGCCCCCCCATCGCCCGTCTGACCATGTGGGCGTGGCCTCTAACGCGGCTTCATGCCAGGCGTCACAACCATTTGGTTTCAGAGCAAACAGCTGGCCAAACATTCCACAAAGCAAGCACCAAAATAAAGACTAGAGCCAAGTATATAAACATGATTAATGACTGTAATGATCCACATCAGCTGAAACATTCAGAGACCTAAGAAAGCCTGAATTCACAAATAAATACCCAGTGATTCACCAAGTTACAAGAAACATTTCAACAACAGTTCAATAGTCTTTAAACCTGGAAACATGACTTCTTCCCTCCTACACGCTGTGCTCTGATAAACTTTTTATCCAAAAAAGCCTGCGTTTCCATTTTTCTGTTTGTCTTATCAGACTTTTCAGTAAGTTCCAACAAGAAACTGATAAATACCAAAGAAAACTCAACATTAGTCAGATTTCACAAATGCAACGTCATCTGATAAAGACAGTGTTTGGAAGGAGGTCTTTAAATGTTTCAAAGTTCTTGGTAAAAACAGGAGTTTCTGATCCAGATTAGCTCAGTCTGTGTTTTAAAAACAGAGATATTTGGTATGGAAGGAGGTGAAACAGGCCCATATATTCAGACTGGCAGGATAGAAAACTCCATCATCAAACAAAATCCAAGGTTAACTCCCATTTTCATCCACACACCAAGTTAAAACACTGCGTTTGTTTCCCTCTGAGCTGGATCATGAGCCCGGTTCACGTTTCTGTGGTGCCTTCAGGGCCAAACAGAAAGTCTGGAGGGCTCTGTGACGCTGGCTGGACGCCACAGGAGGTGGGATCACGTCACACCAGGAAGAGGCTTTTCACTCACTTTGACCACACCGTTTTTCTCCGGTTTTCTGATTTAGCTCCGTCACACTCCTCTCTCACATCCTGGAACTCAGATTTCCTCTCCCGATAAAACATGGACGGCTCAGCTGGGTCTGGCCAGGAGACTTCATGGTGATACTAACAATTATCCCAGCAGAGGTGTGACAATGTGCACAGGCTGATTTTTGGGTCATCTAAAAACGGCAACGCGGTCACTTTGAGCGGCCGTTTTTAAACACGACCCGTCTCCGGCTTCTGTGAGGCCTTAAAAACAGTGTTTTCAGACCGGTGTGGTCCTCTGGAATTTGAGATGAGATGAAGGCTTGTTTCTGGAGACAGACACAATGTTAACCGCTTCCTCTGCCGGCGAGAGAAAAGGAAGCTTCAAAGGCAGAGGACCTCACCCAGAGCCTGGAAAGCAGACGAGGGGGGGGGGGGGGGGGCAAATGGAGGGTTGTACGACCGGCAGGCATTTACCTTAATGACCCAAATTACAGCCATCAGCCCGCCTGTTACAGCCTGGTGCTCACACTCCGGGCGGCTCATTAAGCCACTCATCACCACAGAACAAAGACCACCTCCGCCTGTGGAGGTGTGTTTGGGCCGCTTCAGTCTTTGTCCAAGAGAAAGACTGGATCTCACAAGGAAACCCCCCCCCCAACCACCACCCCCTCTCTCTCCCAGCACACCTCAGGAGGTGGGGGATCGATAGGACTGGCTGTGGCTGGTGGGGGCCTCTACAAAGGGACCAGTGGAGCTGAAAGCTGTATCAATCTGTCCCAGGGTGCCTGTGAGTGCCGGGTGGGGGGTAGGACTCTGGGTGGAGGATGTGGGGGTGGGGGGGTCTGGCTCCATCTGAATGCACTGATCTAATAGGAAACATACCACTTCTTCTTCCAGCTCTGTTTTATGAAGCGGAGAGACAGAAAAATGGCTCAGGGCGGGCGGCCAACACAGAGCAATAAAGCAGAATTCTCACTCCGGCCGGGTTTCATTTCTCCGCCTTTCCACTTCCACACGACTCAGACCGGAGAGGGGGAGGGATGCTCACCAGGAGCTGCCCATCCCTGGTGTTCTCAGGCCTCTCCAGATTCCTTCTCAACACTGAGAGGTCCAAATCAGACTAATAAAAATCATGGAAAAATGTTCCAGGAGGATTTGAACAGACCAGAAAGTTTCTCAGACGTGGTTAAAATAAATTCCAGACCAGGAAGCACAACAGCTGTCCGCCGGCTTCCCCCACGGCCTCAGCACACCTCGCTGGAGTGCTATTCACTGCTCCGGCATTGATGGATGTAAAAGCGGTTTGTTTACACACTCACACAAACGGGAGGGGGGGGGGGGGGGGGCAGCTGCTTTGGACCCTGAACACAAAGTCTAACCAAAGCGATTAAAGGCAGAAGAACCAGAGTTGCACAACCTCCCTGCAAAAAAAATAAAAAAAGAAAAGGGAGGAGGAGGAATGCCAGATGTAGCATATTATTCAGCATATTATGATTAGTTTCCGGTTTAGGCTTCGGCTTTTCTCAGCTGGAAGTAATTCAGGAATTAAACTGGTTCCTCTGAAAGATTTCTACACTCCTAATCCCTCATGTGAACACGCAGGTGAACGTGAGCCCTTTCTCCTCTGCTAATCTGGGGGAGCAGCACCTCCAGTCCAGACAGGATTAACCCACCATTCAAACGGGTCAGATGGCCTGGACCAAAGGGAAAACTCCAGCTCAAAACCCTTCAGACATTTTTTAGGAAACCACCAGCTTCATAGTTTACAGATGGGGGGCTTTTACACACCCAAACTTAACAAACAGGTCTCACTAATGGTCCAGAGGCTTGTCGGGTCATGCCCAATAAGCGGGCATATGATGATGGAGGGCAGGTTACCTGAGGTGTCCCACAGGCTGAGCTCAATCCTCTGGGTGTCGATTTCAAAACTGGCCGTGTAGTTTTCAAACACCGTGGGGACGTAGCTCTGGGGGGAGACATGCAGAGGGACTGTTAGAGAGGGATATGGACACCAGAACCGGGCTCCAGAACCGGGATCTGGACAGCAGAACCGGGATCTGGTTCTGTTCTGCGCACACATGCATGCACGTCCACGCAGAGGTCATCATCTTTTCCTGCCTCACCTCGGGGAAACAGTCCTTGGCGAACACGTGCAGCAGCGCGGTCTTCCCGCACTGGCTGTCCCCCACCACCACGATCTTACACTTCACACTCTGCCCGGGATCCATGCTGGACTTCAGAGAGGACTTATGGCACGAGCGTCGCTCCTTCATTGATTTCCGTAGAGAATGGGGGTCCTAAAAACGGCTCCTGTCCCGGGTGGGTGGGTGTTTTGGTGGGTGGGTATGCGGGATGCGGAGCCTCCAGGGTCTGTGTCGTAGGTCCAGCTGCTCCGGTTCTCCGCCTGGTCTGCCGGCAGAAGGCATTTTCCTGCTTTTATACGGTATCCGGAGCCAATGGCAGCGGCTCCTCCCCCCGTCTCCCTCCCCGCCTCCCCCACACCGCAACCCGGACTGCTCCACCGTGAGGGCGACACCATTGTAATAAC